ACTACCATTGACATATCAGACAGGCAGAGGTGAACATTAAAAAAATCGTATCTTAAGGTGTAGTGGCGCGTCATTTCTTAACAAGGTTGATTATCCAAGATTTTTTACAGGTGGAGGACGTAAGTGCAACCATTCAAAAGCCAGAGTATTCACGACGGGTGATTATCGCCGAAGATGTTGGATGGTGGCAGGGGATGGGGGATGGGGGAGGGGGTGGGGGTGAGGTACTGTTAGTATGTTGTACATGGGTAAGGATCGCAAAAGATTACTTAGGATCAGATAAGTGGCAGCAAGGGAATCTACCCCAACTTAGCGAAAGGATATAATATCTGGGAGCTGGTGTGTAGAACACGGCTACCCCATATACAATGAGGAACCAGACCATGCATATGTCCAATCGTAAAATAGCGCCAAGTTAGCAGAAGGCATAACACAATATTGGTTGAGAGAAGAAAATTTTGATTATGTCATCAACTCCATAGCAGGAGGATGCATGTTAGTTTTGAAGGATTAATCAAGAGGGGAGCAGAATAGAAGTTAGGATGATGTTAGAGATGGCTGTTGAAAATAACCATAGGGGGGGTGCACGCCCTGAAGCGCGTTTTTCGTTGCTTAACACCTATTGCAGCTCATCAGAGGGACAACCTCTGACTCCCGTTAGGGGTTTTAGTATGTGTGTTAGTAGTGGTGGAAGGGTTCGGGGACGGAGGGAATTAATACATATTTTGTTTGTTAGGCTGACATAATGTGGAAAGAGTATTTAGAGCCATACCTGAGTGCGTAGCGCTTAGGACGACGTATCTTCGATGGTTGCCATCAGATCCTCTAGAGATGAGTTGCCACGTCTCACGGTATGTAGCACCGAGGACGCGTCTTCAATTGCGCAGTTAGGATCTCATTGTCTAGTCAGGAGTGTGTCTGGTACAGCAGTTGCGTGGGATCACGTTTATGAGAAAACATTACGTCCTTAGAAGCATGCGAGTAGGGATTCAGCGAGAGCATAGCATACCAGTGCAACCCGGAGCATGAGTATGGACAGCAAAGCGCGCTTGTAGCACTGTAAGTGCAAGTGGTTATATACGGATGAGTCTCAGGCGACGAAGCTGCATATACGAGTCTCAGGCGACGAAGATGCGGGGTAGCCTAGCGATAATCATGTAGAAGGGTGGTTTGTGTATTTCGTAAGATAGAAGGGGTTTGCGTAGGGCAGATATGGGTGAAACGAGATGCATTCATTATGGTTATTGGTATGGCAGTGTGTGTTTTTTTCTTTTCTTAATTCCGTATGTAGAGTTGTTTTAGTAGGAAGTTTTTTTTTAATTTTACGTAATTTTGTGTATCTCGTGTGTTATGGCCACGTTTTTTTATGGGGGGAAGGGTGGAGGAAGTAGGAGGTGGTACAAGGGTTTTTTTGATGTCATGTTATTTTGTTAAGTTTGTCGTATGCTATGGTGGTTATGCAGGCTATGGCGTGCGTTCTCAGGTCGTAGGATAGAGACATTTTGTGGGCACATGTTTTTGGTGGTATTTGCTGGTTGTCGTATTCGATAAACGTTGGCTATAATTTTGTTTAACCGCGTCGTGCCTCGTGTTGAAGTGCTTTGCAGACTAAGGTGTCTGTGCTTAGCTTGTAGGATGGGAACATGTGTGGTCATGTGTTTTTGGCGGTATTTGTTGTGTGTTGTTTTTGCAAAGTGGTGACGATAATTTAGTTTGAATGCAACGTTTGAATATGTGGGTTGGGTAGCTGACCGTGAGAGGCTTCCGATATGCTGTATTGTTGTATCAGTTTAAACTATTTTTGTATCCCATAACTTGTTATACGAGGAGTTTTGTTTTTCTATATATTATGTTTTGCTTCATTATGCGTATGTACTTCAATGACGTTGCTTTAGGGAATTGTTTGCGTAACTTTGTCGAAAATCCTTTCGGGTTATTTTTAATTTTATTACAGTTTTTATTTTTTATATATTTATTATTTATTATTCTTTGAGTATATTATTTTTGATTTTTGATTTTATTTTTTGATTACTTTATTACTTTATTAAATTTATTTTTATTTTTTATTTTTATTTGTTAATTTTATTTATAAAGTTTATTTTTTATTATTTATTTATTGAATTATTTATTTATTATTTATTTATTTTTTATTTGATTATTTTATTATATTATTATTTGATTATTTTATTATTGGAAAAAAAACCTAAAAAAAAAGATTGAACTTATGTGTGTGTGTGTGTGTGTTTGTGTGTGTGTGTGCGTGTGTGTGTGTGTGTGTGTGTGCGCGTGTGCCCGGGGGAGGGGAGGGAGGACCCCTGCCCCACCAATCAATCAATCAATCAATCAATCAATCAATCAACAAATCAATCAATCAATCAGTCAATCAGTCAATCAATAAATCAATCAATCAACCAATCAATCAATCAATCAATCAACCAATCAATGAATCAATCAACCAATCAATCAATCAACCAACCAATCAATCAATCAATCAATCAATCAATCAACCAATCAATCAATCAATCAATCAATCAATCAATCAATCAGAAAAACAATCAATCAATCAATATATATATATATATATATATTTTTTTTTTTTTTTGTCACACACCCACCCCCCCCCAAAAAAAGATTAACCTTTTTTTTATTTTTAGTGGCTTCCGAAAAGGGGGTGGCCATGCGCAGGCGATGTGAGTGCCCCGTTCTCGGGCACGCGGCTCCGCCTGCGAGTGGCGCGGCCGCGAAGTTGTTCGGCCATGCGGCCTAGGCCGCGGGGTAGCCGCCGACCTCCTCGGCCGCGGACGAGGCCGTAGGATCCACGACCGTAGGGGACACATAGGGGTGGAGGAGGCTAAATGGGTCAACTAAGTTCATAGACTGAATAAAATCCCCAAAGGTTGGTGGATGATTACGGATCTCATCCAAGGTTGAGGAGGCAAGAAATTAGGGTGGCCTCCTAGAATGTAGGGGGCCTGGGCGAGTAACTTGACAGACACAAGTGGGCCCGGCTGACAACCTGTATTCACCAACATAGGGCCCAAGTAGTACTACTCCGGGAGACCAAACTAGATGACAAAAAAATTGCAGACATGCAATGGAGATAGCAAGGCCTCAGTTTTGGGCCCCTGCAGACGGCACTAAACGGGCCACAAACATTATTTTTCACATGGACCTCCAAGTGTCAATCATTGCTGATTTCTCTGACTCCCTCGCTAGATGGGTCTGGCTCAGAGCGGAGATTAATGGTATGGAATGGACTTTTGCCTTCATAGATGCTCCAGTGGACAGGAGGGAAAATATCGAATTCCTTTTTTTTTTTTTTTTTTTTTTTTTTAAGGCTTTGCCAGTCAGGCTGCTCCATCTAAAATATCCATCCAGCGACCTAGCTTAGTTGGTAAGGCACGCAAGTGCAGGAGGTCTTGGGTTCAATCCCCATTCGCCTCATGTACCTTCCTGGGCATGCTTGGTGCCCGCCACCTAGAGATAGCCCGTTTGTCCCCCAAATTGGCATTAAAAAGCAGTCTCTGCTGATGTTCATAGGAGGAGGGGTAATCGGGGAGGCACAGCGACTGGCCTCTCATATGATGCTCGATCCCTCTGCTACCGGCTGTCCCCTGGCCGGTGTCCCCCATTGGGGGTTCCCTGAAGGCAATCCAGGCCACCCTGGGCTGAAAAGGCCACCCATGTCAGATCAGACACAATATTGAATTTATCTGGGCTGGTATATCCGATGACAATAACTCAAGGCCATCGCCCTTTCAGGGGGAATTGGAATTAAGGCCCCTGAGCTGTTGAAATGGAAGCCGACGTACGGATCCAGACTACCAGATGAATGTGAGGAAGTAACTCAACTCATGAATGACCAAAGCTGGACAAGTGGGTTGTTCGAATCCAGCCGACCAGATGAACGTAGGGACGCCGGGCCCGTTTCCCGGTATGTATACGAACCAAAAAAAAAGAAAAAAGAAGGGAAAAGTTATAACTCTGAATTGCTAAAACCAGTCATTTCGACGACGAGTGGGTTGTGTCTGGTGTGTGGGGCGGTGTTGATCGTCCTTTTTTTTTTTTTTTTTTTTTTTTTTTTTTTTTTTCAAAGCCCAGGTTGTTGTAGAGGTGGGATACTAGATGTGTGCCGAGTAACTGGCCTCTACAACACGCTGGTCTCTTGGGCTCTCACGGTTTGACATTGACTGAGCACCAATAGTCCTCGGCTAGAATTGGCGAAAGAACATGCTTAATAATACCTTTCCGCAGCTCTTTTAAAAAAAAAAAAAAAAACGGTTTGACATTGACTGAGCACCAATAGTCCTCGGCTAGAATTGGCGAAAGAACACGCTCAATAATACCTTTCCGCAGCTCTTTAAAAAAAAAAAAAAAAAGTGCAGCGGGCAACATGCATCCTGTTCAATGTGAGAGGTAGCTATGCTATCAATGCCAATCATTGGGAGTAGCGGTAGAGCGACGCGAAGGTGAATTGGAGCGGACTAGGGAGCAGCCTTGGGTGTAGCGGAACCGCGAACCGCGAGTTGTCTCGCTCGTGATCCAATCTCCGACTCCACTCTCCTCACTCGTCATCGAATTCCTTGCTCTCCTCTTCTTGAGTGATGGCGAAAGCGGTAGGGTTACCCCCAGCACCCCCCAACTCTGAGGCTGCCCATCACGGACGGAAATGGGCAGAGTGAGATCGTCCGGCATTACGCACACGCGCTTCTCCGGTGGGCGAGGGCAAGTCCCCCGGTTTGACCACGCGCGAGAGTGGAGATCGCCCCCAGACTGCACTGACTTCTTCTGGGTTCGGCTTTGGCACGGGAGCCGGCGTGCCGACCGTCTCGTATCTTCTGAATTCGGGCTTGGCACGCGCGCCTGTGTGCGGATCGTCTCGATCTGCTCTGGCATCTTCTAGATTCGAGTTTGGCTCGGGCGTCGTCGCGCAGATCGTCTAGATCTGCACTCGTATCGTATCGTATCGTATCGTATCGTATCGTACCTTCTAGGTTCGGGGTTGGCCCGGGCGCCGGCGGCGCCGGCGCCGTTGCGTCGTCATAGACCGACTGCTCTGAGGTCAAGTTGACGTGCTCCGAACGGTTGGTTTGCTCGCGTTGCTGGAGCGGATATGGCCCGACCCGGTGTCCTGGCGCATCTGCAGCCGCCGCCAAGTCTCCTGCTACGGGTCGTCTGCGCTCTGCTCCTCCTGGGGTTCTCGTCGTCAGCTTGTGCTGTGCGCGATCCGTTTGGGGGCCTGAGATTGCCGTCCGAGCGTGAGCGAGAGGGGGGAGGGGAAGCTAGTGGCCGGGAGAGAGAGGAGGATGCCATTGGGGAGAGAGGGAGGAGGTGGGCGGTCCTCGTGGCCGGTTCCTTTGGCTACTGGAACTACCGCCATCAAGCAGATGTGTGCCACGCGTACCAGGTTCTCTCCAAGAACGGGCTGCAGGAGGAGAACATCATCGTGTTCATGTACGACGATATCGCGTTCCACGAGGACAACCCTCGGCCGGGAACCATCATTAACTCGCCTAATGGGGTCAACGTTTATAAAGGGGTGCCGAAGGACTACACAGGGAGGGATGTGCGGACCTCTGTGTTTTTGAACGTGCTTGCGGGGAACAAGGCGGCCGTGAGGGGGATTGGCAGCGAGAAGGTGCTTGCGAGCGGACCCAGTGATCACGTCTTCCTCTTCTACTCTGATCATGGCGGGCCTGGGGTTCTTGGAATGCCCAACTCCCAGCTTCTGTATGCGGACGAGCTTAATGGGGTCATCAAGGGGATGCACGAGGCCGGGGCCTTCTTGGAGATGGTGGTGTACTTGGAGGCGTGCGAGAGCGGTAGCGTTTTCGAGGGGTTGTTGAGGCCGGAGTGGAACGTGTACGCCACCACTGCGTCCAACGCTCAGGAGAGCAGCTGGGCCACCTACTGTCCGTACTCGCAGTTGGCGCCTCCGCAAGGCTTCGAGACCTGTCTGGGAGATCTGTACAGCGTGGCATGGATTGAAGACTCTGAGACCAACGACCTCACCAGAGAGACTCTTCTCGAGCAGTACCTCGTCGTGAGTAACCGCACGGCACATGCAGAAGGTTTCATGATTGGCTCGCACGTGATGCAGTACGGGAACATGGACATAGACCTGGAAAAGTGCTCCTTGTACCTGGGTTCCAACACCGAACTAACGACTGCCGCCGGCGCGTCGCCGTCGTCCACTTCATTGTCGCCCTTTGTCAACAATCAGGACGAAGAAGAACAAGAAGAGGAAGAGGGGAAGAAGACGGGCATAGACCTGGAAAAGTGCTCCTTGTATCTGTCTTCGAACCCCGAGTTAACCACCACCGGCGGCGGCAGGTCGCCGTCGTCCAGTTCATTGTCGCTGTTCGTCGACAATCAGAATGGAGAAGTAGAAGAAGAAGAAGAAGAGGGGGAGAAGAGGATGACCCATGGAGAGAGGAGGTCGCTCTACTCGATCAATAACAAAGGTGGTGCGGTGCCTCTGCGGGACGCGGAGCTGGGTTCGAACAACGAGTTAGCCACCGCCGCCGGCGCCGCCGATAAGTCGGCGTCCAGTCTATTGTCGCATTTCGTTACTAATCAGAAGACACAAGAAGAAGAAGAAGAAGAAGAAGAAGAAGAAGATGGGAGGGAGAGGGAGAAGAGGTTGATGGGTGGTAAGAGGAGGAGGTCGTTATACTCGATGAACAAGGGAGGTGGTGCGGTGCCTCAGCGGGACGCCGAGCTGGTTCATTACTGGGCGAAGTTGTCGAACGCTGTGGAAGGTTCTGCAAGGAAAGCCAAGGCGTTGGAAGAGCTGAGCAGGATCACCTCGGAGCGAGCTCACATCGACCGGTCGGTGAGCTTGATGGGGTCGTTGCTCTTTGGTGAGGACGGCGGCGACCGTTTTTTGAACGCTCGACGTGCGACCGGGCTGCCGCTTGTCGACGACTGGAACTGCCTGAAAGCTGTTGTTCGTGCGTTCGAGGCCCACTGCGGACACCTCACTGCGTACGGAATGAGGCACATGCGTCGCTTCGCCAACATCTGTAATGACCGAATCCCCATATCAAGGGTGGAGAAAGCGGCGGCTGAGGCCTGCGCGGATTAGTACGGATTAATTACTGTGTCTACCACCCTCCGTTCAGAGAGCGACCGAGGCCTACCGTCTTCCTCGGATAGAACGCCCGGTCATCATCGCTGCATCTATAGACGGAAAGATGTCCTTAGGGCGAGATCCCACTGGCAAAGAGGATTGTAGTAAGTGTCTGAATGTGGACGTGGTTTTGGACAGGTGCGAAAAATTGTGATTGATCTACTTTTCTGCACCTCTGCGTGGAAACACGTCCAGATTCAGACACTTCTTCCAACCCTCTTTGCCAGTGGGATCTGGCCCTTAGTAGAGCTCTAATCACCGGGCGTTCTATTAGGGTAAACAAGGCAGCGAATGGGTGAAATAGGATTAAATGGAATGGGACAGTCATGGAATGATAGATTGATTGATTTGACTTGCGGCTTTTCGTTTGTTTTTTTCCCGAACTGCGAACCAAGATGGAGAGCAGTGTAGATTCTTCCTTGGTCGTTTGTAATCACTCTTCCTGTCTGTGTATCACTCAGTCACTCCTCTTCGTAGTGACTCTTCGTGCGATTGGTGAGCTTTGGAGAAAAAAAAAATTGGAAGCTCAAAGCATGGCCGGAATATTAGATGTGATTGGATCCGACATCTATTCGGGGAATTATTGTGGATTATGACCGCTGGGCTGATTAATCGATTCTACCTACCGTCCTCCCCCGAACACGACGCACCCACTTTATGGCTGCATACGACTGGAAACATCGCTTGTATAAATTTCACCTTGAGGTTGTGCGTTGTGTTCGGGGGAAGACGGTAGTTCATGCTTTCTTTCCCGAACACAACGCAGCCACTTCATGACTGCATCGGACTGGCAAGATCGCGTAAATACATTCGCCCTGGGGGGGTGCGTTGTGTTCGGGGAAAGACGTTATTTCATCCTATTTCCCCAGAACACAATCCCACGCTCTATATGAATGCATCGTACTGGAAAGATCGCTTGTATACATGCTCACCCTGAGGGTGCGTGTATTCGGGGAAAGACGGTAGATCATGCTTTTTCCCTCGATCACAACCACGCACCCACTTTATGACTGCATCGGACTGGAAGGAGTGCTTGTATACATTGACCCTGAGGGTTCGTTGTGTTGGGGGGGAAGAGGGTAGTACATGCTTTTCCATGTATAACGCATGACGAGCCTATGAGGAGCAGCAGGATATGATCACATTCATACTTCTTGTTGATGGACGTTCGACGATGAGCAGATCGTAGGTGGGCGGCATAGGCGCAGCTTTATGGGCAGCAGCAAACTGGATAGATAGATGAGTCTGCAGGTCTTCGCTGCCATGATGTTGGTTTGTGTGCCAGCACCTGATATAGGTAGGTCGGTAGGCAGGGAAATGTGTAGTGCGTTGTGTAGGGATTTGGTGTGTGAAGTAATAAGAAGCGTCTTGTCTTGGCGTCGCTTGTTGAGTGATGGGAGTTGATGAGCTGTATTATAGTGGTGTCACCATTCTTTCGGACGGAGGATTGGGGGCTTTCCTATCTTACATTTGCTTCTAAGGGAAGGAGAGACGTGCACAGGACTTGGCTGTTCGATGGCATGTTGTTGGTTTATCTGCCGGCCAGCCTGCAGGGGTCGGGTACCCTGTCAGCGGCTAGGTCAGACAGCTCGGGAGTGCGACGGATGTACGCGTGCATGGGTTACTGTCTGTTGTTTTCGCTACATCCCTCCGTTTGCTCCAGATCTTTGCCAGGGTTTCGGTCCCCCACCTACCCCCCCCCACCCCACCCCGCGTTTTCTTTTCTTTTAATAGGGCGACGGTTTTTAGATATGATCATTGAACTAACCGGCCCCGGGTAATTCAGAATGATTGTATTCTGGTCATCTGATTGTATCTGGATTCGAACTTGGATCTGTATTTCAACAATTTGTGCGTGTACCAACTAAGCTACGCCCGTCGGTGCCAGGGTTTGCGTTTGATTGCTTTAGGGACTTAAAAAAAAAAAAAAAAAAAAAAAAAAAACGGGACTTCAAAAATTCCCTTCTAATATATCATTCGTTCGTGATGTGTCCCGCGCTTTTTCAAGCGGTTGTTGTAACTGCAAGTATTTTTGCGGAAAGTACGTTTGCCAGGGGTTGCTGGCGTTTGACTGGTCCAGCTTTTTCAAGCGGCTTTCTCCCTCGTGTGGATTTGATTGCATTTCCTCGATTTATGCGTGTGTGATCGTTGACAGCGCAGGCCCGCAGGGACCATGCTAATTACCCTTCTCTGTGCCGCTGTTCCAATTCTAACGGATACCCCGAGGTCCGAAGGGCGTTTTTTTCGTTTTGCTGCTCGCGTCATGGACGCACAGGTGACTCGTCCAGCAGTGCTTTTGAAAGAAAGGACGCACCGTTGACCGCACCGTTGAGTGCGCACAAGTGACCGCTCGAACGTTGCTTTTGGAAACAAGTGTGTGCTGCTTTGCTTGTTGAGCCTTTAAAACGTGCTACGTCTCCTGTAAACGGATGTTTTTCTTCTCTTTGGGGCAAGTACTTTCAAGTCGCACCCCATTTTCATAATGGGCAACTTCGACAGTTCCCGAAAAATGACGAAAAAGGCAACCCTAAAACTGCAT